TTTATATTCCTCTTAGTTTCCCCATGGTTCAGCAGGAGATCAGTATCAAGGAAAAAAGTCTGAGAAAGTGAGAGTTAAAAAAAGGAAATCTGCAAACCTTGACTTTAAATGAATAGACCTTCTTATCTGTCATTTCAAGAGGATGGTGTGAAGGTGTGAGAGTCTAGAGGAAAAGGCAAAACAAGTTCTAGAATGACTGTGAAATGTAGTGAAAATCACAACCCAAACCAAAATCGCTTGATGTGAGAGACGTGGGAACACAATTTCCAGATCTATAAAGCAAGACCATGTCAATGCCTTGGCATTTTCTTCAGCTTTGCCACCGACAAGGGCAAATGGTCAGTTAATGGCTTTTTTGTGTTATAGTTTGTTTCTCCCTCCCTGCACCCCTGCACCCCCCCTCCGCTTCTGTTTCCCTAGTATATGCTGAGGGGTGGGGAGAGGCGGTGAAGGGAACAGAAGTGGTTGGCACAAGGGATATAATCAAGCTCACCTTACAGTACATTAACATGACCAAAAACAGACACAGTCGAGATTCTTAATAAAACCTGACCAGAAACCACTAACACATCTCGGACAGGAGTGCTTTAACTCTGTGTAGAACAATGGGGGGGGGGGGGGAAGCAAGTAGTTATTAGACTTTTTCTCAATCAGGAATGTCCTGTTCAGAGACCTAGGAAGAAGCTAGGTCTTCTCCCTAGTCCTAGGGAGAAGCAATAGGGGTTTTGCCACAGGTTACCAAATTTAAAAGTTCACTGGGAGCACTTTTATTTCTTCAGCATCAAAGAAACAACAGGACTCACTCCTTCAGCGTTTTAGAAACAGCAGGTCTTAGTAACAAGTTAGCAAGAATAATTAGCGATAATAGGAAGCTGCAAGATGGTAAAATGGTAGGAGCTCCCTTCATCCCCCAACACCATGCAGCAGTCTGCTCAGCAGTATCCTTGTTCTGTGTCCCCAGGCCTCTGTCTCCTCATCTACAAAATGAGAAGGTCAGACTAGATCACTGGGGTTTCTTTTAGCTCAAAATATGTGGTACGGGGTAGAAAGAATCTAGGAGGTCGGCAAATCTAGTCCCCTCGGTCTGCAAAGGAGGAAACTGGTCCAGAGAAGTGACTAGCCCGGGGCCTGATTCACAGTCCAGAGCCCTTTCTTCTCCAGGACCCAATCCACATAGCCTTAGATAGACTTTAGCCATGTTCCAAGGTATCAAAGGCAGTCACCACTTTTAGGTTACAAAATATCCTCAATGTAGACTGAACTGTTGTGTATACTACAGAGAGATAGAAAGCGTGGTACTTTATATGTACAATCCAAATGGAAAGGAACAACTCCCAGAGAACAACAGCATGTACAGGCATCCCTTCCACATTGTAACTCTACCCATCACAGTTTCAATATATTGCAGGTCAGCATAAGAAGTTAAATTGGAATTTGGGGGGAGTTTTGCAGAAGCCACAGAGAGCACACAAAAGCCAGCAGACAACATTGTAAAAGTTTAGAAACTCAGAAATGCATAAAATGTATGTATAGTATTGGATAATATCAACCCAAATTTTACAATAAGGTATTGGAAATACCTCATAAAAGAAAAAGACAAAATTCAGACTTCTCTGGTATGAAGGGAGAGCCAAAATATTTTACATGGATTTTTCAGATGATGGGGGTGCTTCACCACTAACCCCCATGATGTGGAAGGGATGACTGGATGAGGTAACACAATACCAGCTATGGACATAGGTCCACATGAGGGAATACAAAGTAAGCGAGGGAGCATGAAGAATGGGGTAAGATTAATCAGGGAAGGCTTCTTGGAAGAAATGACTCAAACTGGTTCCTGAGAGAGGAAATATATATGAATTGAAGGGAAATTAATAGAGTCCAATCAGTAGGTAGAATATTATAAAGAAAAAACCCAGAGCAAGCCTTCCTTGACTTTCAAAAAGAAATGCATTAATTTTTCAGGAAGAAATGAGATGAGGCTGGATAACCAAAGGTGAGCTAGTTTATCCAGCAGTTTGAATGCCATTCTAAGAAGCGTAGATTTAATGTGGGAATAGTAAGAAGTTGTTGTCGATGGTCCTCAAACCAAAAAGAACATAATGAAAACATCACTTCAGGACAGCAAAATACAGGCTGACCTGACCTCAAAAAAAAAAAAAGACAGATGGGAAAGCCCCACTAGGACAATATTATAGTCATCTAGATGTGAAGAAATGGGACTCTGAGCATAGCTGTATTGGTGTATTTCATTGTTTCATCACATGTTGAAGCTCAGAGCTACAGACCAGGAGATAAAAGGGAAATGTATTTCCTCAGGGTAAAAGAAAGATTACAATACTGCCATCCTGCAAGATTTATTGAGTATCCACTAGGTTCATGGCCTCCAAATCTGGATTTCCTGTGGCATCATGGAAAGAACACTCGATTTACAGTCGGAAGACTTGGGTTCAAATCCTAATCCAGCTACATACTACCCGAGGTACCTCGGCCAAGTCACTTAATCTCTTTCTCTCTCTTTCCCTTTCTTCCTCTCTCCCTCTCTCCTTCTTTATAACATGAGAGCTCTGGACCAGCTGATTTCAACAATCTCTTCCAGATCAAAATCCTAAAGTCTTGTAATCTATTCCCTTTCAGATAAGATATTTAGAACAGAGTGGCTGTCTAATTAATATATACATGTATATATACATATATGTGTATATGTGCATATATGTATATGTACATATATACATATATTTTTTAAGGAATCTTTCAGAATTTGAGGACCATGTTTTAGTGTTAAACCTGAATCAGGAAATGGTGAACTTGGATACAGAAAGACAATTCATGTTCTCTCCTGCCTTCAGCAGCCTGTCCTATTAAAGCCATTTGTAAACTGAGGAGGATACTTATGAAGGGATGAAGCTAGGGCATTCCTAGGAGAAGAGAGGGAGCCTCAAGCCATCAAGGGGAGCTATATAGTATAAGAACAGCATATGGGTCTCATCAGAGATGAAGCATGGCAAAAAGATGGAGTCCATTCTAGGAATCAGAGAACATGGCAACTACCTCTAAGCAAAATCTCCCAAAGCTGAAATTCCCCCGCAGCTCTCAGCTTCATGGAGACAAACACAGAAGTCCCCATCAGCAGAGATATGCAATGGAACCATAAAATTGTTGAGACCCCTTAAGATCAGGAAGAGAAAGAAGAGTCTGACTTGTTTCTTCTTTAACATTTTAATACTATCATTTTGTTCACTGGAATAGCCTTTTATTAGAATGGCTAATTGCTTTTTAATAATAGGCTCAAGGCATTGCTTAAACTGTCTTGTTGATCTCTATAAAACCTCATTAAAACAAAATGAGATGGCCTGTCACTCTGGAAAATCAGAGGAAACTTCGCCTGCCCCAATACTTCCATCCCACCACTCCACTGAGCTCAAAAACACCTGTAGTAGTTGCTTCTGAACTATGTATTGAACTATGGCTTTGCTTCCTGACTTGATATCCCTTTGATACAAAATAACACTACAGAATGAGGTGATGAAATTATAGTTTATATGAAAGAGAATATATGAAAGAGACCTTAGCCAACGGCCTGTTCAACTCAATCTTAAACATGCTATTATTGTATATATTATTATATATCACATTACATATTATGTAATATGTAATATGTAATATTATTGTTATATATAAACAACCACTGAGGTTGAGAGATTAAGTTATTAAACCAGGGTTATGTAGCTGGTTGATGCTACTATTTTCTACATTTATGAATGAGGAAACAGAGGCAGAGAGAAATTAAGTGGCTTGCCAAGTTGGGGCTTGAACCCAGGACTTTCTGTCTCTAGACTCAGCATATGCCACTTTGCCTCTCCTAGTGGCTTGGACAACCTCACACAGCCAGCCACTTGCAGAACGAGGACAAGAACTGTGGAGGGCTTGTTGATGAGATGATTAATTGCCTGGTTAGTTGGTTGCCGCCTGGCTCACAGTCCAGCACACACCAGCTGTCTCCAATTCTGTAGATGGAGAACTTGGATGAATGCCGCTGGTTCACTGGGAACCTCACAATGGCAATAGGCTTTTGGGAAGACTTGAATCCTGCCCTCAGACACTCCGAGCTACGTTACCCTGGGCAAGTCACTTAAACTCTTTCAGCCTCAGTTTTCTCATCTCTAAAACAAGGATAATCATAGTGCTGACCTCATAGCACTTGTCGTGAGGAGCAAATGAGACAATACATGGAAAACCCATTGTCAGCCTTAAATCGCGATATAAATGCCAGCTTCTTATTATCCCCGCTTCCTCAAGTCACTAGCCTATCACAGACACAAAGGACCCTCTGTCTCTCTCCTTCCACCTCCATTGGGCCCAGGAGAAAAAGTTGAGCTACAGCCATCCTCCTAGGCCATCATTTGTCGCGCATCTGCTTGCGGATTTTTTGCCCCACCCAAATGTAATGTAATGTCATCTCTATGGGGAGGAGCTGCTTTCAGCTGCGGCTATGGATCCCCAGATACTAGCCCAACACTGCGCATAGTAGTACAAGGCTTATTGGGTGAGGTTCACGGTTCAGGATATTGGGCCATACCTGTTTAAAAAGTCCTCCAGGCCCAGAGAGAGGAAGAACTGAGGTTCCTGCTCCCTGGGTCCTAATCCCTGGATCTGGTGGGTAGGGGGTAGCTGCAGAGCATCAGCCCTGAGCTAAAGGATCTGGCCCACCTACCAGTGGGTATCTTAAAAGCTGGCTTCTTGAAGGAAAGCAACCATGGGGGTGGGGTTTGGGGGGAGAACCAAGCCGGTTGAACCGGCTACACAGGGAACTCCTAGGAACTGGAGAGAGGAGGAGGGAGCAAGAAGAGGAAAGAAGCCCAGGGCAGGATTGGGGGAGGGTGAAGGAGCCCAGGAATGGAGAGAAGGCGAATGAGGGAAAGAGGGAGGGGCAATGGGGAGTAGAGATAGATTGTGAGGAACTTTACTGATTGTGCCACTAGGTAGGGGAGCCCCGCTTGGGAAGGAGCATCAAGCAGACTGTGTTCTATGATCTGCCTCCTCAAAGGAGGAGCTGCTCCCACTCGTCTTTTCCTTGGACATTTCTGGGCCTGTCCTGCCAGGAGGAGGAGCTCTGCCCCCCCTTCCCTTTCCTCCCATTCCTCCCCATTCCTCCCCATTCCTCTTTACCCCTTAGAAGAGGTGAGATAACCAGTGAAACCTGCTGGCTAGCTCCATCCTCCCATCAAAGCATCCTAGCAGCTGGGAGCCACACTGCCAGCCTCCCCAGTCACAGCTGTGCAACCTGCTCAGAGGAGGTAAGCTGAGAGCTCCTAGCGCTTGGAATGAATTGGGAGGAAAGGGAATGTCTGTCCTCATTACTAGGCAAGTGGTCTCTCCCCCTGGAAGAGCTAACAACCCTGAGTCCTTCTTTTCCTTAGATGGAGGTTCGTAGGCTTTAAAGGTCAAAGGGATCTTGGAGATCATCTCTTTCCAGTCCCTCAGTTTTACAGATGAGAAAAGAGAAGCACAGAAAGTAGAAATGACTTGCTTAAAGGTCACACAGGGTGTGAGTAACAGTGCTGGGATTCTAACCCAAATCCAGTGATTTTTTTTCTCTAGACACCACAATAGTTCCCCTGGATTGTAACACCATGCTCAGTCTGAGCAGTGGAATTGGAGGGATGACTCCTATAAAACCTTTTGGAATCAAGAACGTATCATTGGGTTAGAGATAGGTAGGGGAGTTGTTGTCACAAGTTGAAATGTTTTAATTATTTCAGGTTTAAACAGGTAGCGTAGTGCAGTGGGAAAAGCATTGGATTTGGGTCCAAAAGACCTCAGTTCAAAGCTTGGCTCTGCTACTAACTACCTATATGTCCCTAGACAAGTCACTTAACCTTTAGGTTAACTTCTAGGAGACCCCATTTTCCCAACTTTACAATGAGGGGCTTGGACAAGGTGAGCCCTAAGGGCCCTTCTGGCTCGAACATTCTATGAATCTGGCTAGAGGCCTACAGATGCACCAATTGTTGCTATCTAGGGCTCTCTTACTTACAAAGATGATTCCTTTAAATAAGGTTGGGAATGGTGTGGTCTATCACACAGCAGGAGCAAAATGAATTGATGATGTTGATGAGGAACGAGGATGAGGATGGTGGAGGTGCAGCCTACTGGATTTTAGATACCTTCAGAGCAGGAGAAATGCGCCTCTTCGCCACTACCTGCTTCTAACAAATTCAGACTAAGTGTTTATTGCATAATGAGTGAATGAAAGGTTAAAATTAAACCTTCCCTCCCGTCTGAGCTGTCTCTGTGCTCCAAGGGTCTACAACCCAGATGGGGACCCACTTCAGCATGAGGTATTAAGCAGAAATGCCCCCCTTGCCAAGTAGCACCTTTCTATGTTGTTTGAGAGTGAGGCAGTGCTGTCCACGCGTAGTGGTCAGGTTTGGGGAGTGGGGAGGAATGATTCCATAGAGGGAACTCTACACCTTTTCCCATTACACTTAGAATGTGTCAGGTTCTATTTCCAATTGTCCTGACCACCTGGGGCAGTATTGACTGCTGTGTTGTTAATTGTTGATCTGTTGGAAGGAGGAGGTAGTTTGAGGTAAAGGGAAAGAAAGCAATTCTCCTCACTTTAAAAGTCAATAGATGGGGTCACCAATTCTAAGTCTTTCCAGACTTAAGGTCAGTGGTGGGGGGAGGGATCTGAAAGGATACAAAGGTAATGAGGATAGCTCTGAGAGGGGATACAAAGCCTGTGCTCTCCCCAACTCCCAATTCCAATTTAACGGAGAAAAATGTGTTATGCATGGGTCCAAATGACAACTTCATAATTACATGGTGAAGGATGAATGGTTAGACAGCAGTTTGTCTGGAAAAAAAGGCGGGGAAGAGGTGCTAGACTGATTCAAGGTGAGTACGTCAACAGTTGAGATAGAGCAATCAACCAAACCAAAGTGATCTTGGCCTCCATTAAGAGAAACAGCAGCCAGGAATAAGAAAGTGAGAATCCCACTGTACCCTCTCCAAGTCAGGCCACAATTAGAGAGTGTTGGAGTCAATTCTGGACAGCACATTTAAGGCAGGACATTAGCAAGGAAGACTAGTTTTCAGATAAGAATGACCAGGTTTTGGAATCAAGTTCAAGCCCTATGACAAATCAGTTGAAGGAACTGTGACTGTTTAGCCCAGATGAGAGAAGACTTAGGTGGGGGGACATGATGGAGGCTTTGTTCTTATTTTTCTGGTCCCCAGTGAGCAGAACTAATAGTTGGTAGAAGTTGTAGAAAGAATGGGGTGGAGGGATGTCTAATAATTAAAATTATCCAAAAAATGGAAGGGGCTGTCTTCGGAAGTGACAGATTTCTCCTCCTCTCTGGGGGTCTTCAAGGAAAGACTGAATGACCAATTGCTGAATATATTAAGGAGAGGATTTTTGTCCAGGCATGAATTTGACTATATGATTACTGAGGTTCCTTCCAACTCTAAAATCACTCTTCAATGATTCCTGGGGCCACATTAGGGAAAAGTGTGTTATTTCTTGATGTCTATTACTCAATCTTCAATGACTCCTTTCTTTGGACTTGAATTTGGAAAACACTCAGAAACCACTGTCAACATACCTCCCAGGCTGTCAGTGGCACTGGGGTTTCATAGTCAAGGGTAAATTCCAAAGCAAACTGCAGCCAGAAACACCCAACTAGCCCTTTAAAAAGTGGAGGTGGAAAGAGAAAGGTCCTGCAGAAAGAGAATCAACACACTGATTGCCACAGGTGGTAATTTCTAACATTCTATGAACCTAGAGATTGTCTTTAGAGAGGCTATTAACCCAGCTATAGAAGAATTACAAGGTGAGTTTTTTTCCCAGGTTTATATCAAATGCTTCCAGAAGGGGTATTTACAGGGGCAAAAGTACTGCTTGGTCTGTAGTAATTCTTGGAGGAACTAATTCACTTCTCCCCCAAAAAATGAGAGAGAGAGAGAGAGAGAGAGAGAGAGAGAGAGAGAGAGAGAGAGAGAGAGAGAGAGAGAGAGAGAGAGAGAGAGATGTAATCAAATCCTAAGGAAATATAGGCTTCCTTTCTCCCTACAGTTCAGTTAGACTTACCCAACCTGACTGTGCAGTTCGGACTGGCTGATGGAGATAAGCAGCTCCCAATCTCATTACTCTGGCAAACCTGCTGTTCTGGACACACAGAGATTCTGTTGATTGTAGAAATGCCTGAGGATCTTGTCATGCTCATAAAGTTTTGAAGGTCTTGGGAGTTAATGCTTCTCTGCCCCACTAAATCAAACCACACTCACAAATTCCTGCCTCACTTTACAGCTATTTCTGCAGACTAGGGTTTGTGATTGTTTTAAATTGCTGTTATTTGGGATCTAGACCTGTGATTTTATATGTGTGGAACTCTTGGTGTGGAAACTTCTTCCACTAATGCAAATGTGAAGTTTGGCTATAACTTGTAATCTGAATGAGTTGTCTAGGTCACTGAGAAACAGTGACTAGCCTATGATCCCACAGCTAGTATGCGTCAGGAACATTTCTGATTCCAAAGCCAGATCTCTAGCCATTATGTTATGCTGATTATCACAGCAAAAAGACACTAAACTAGGAATTAGAGAGCTCTAGTTCCTCATACTGGCTTCACCAGCGACTGTGTAGTCTTAAAAAAAAATCATCTAACTTCTCTTAGCCTCTGTACCATAGGATAATTCTATTGCTTTATGTACCTTAAAGGGCTGTTCTAAAGCTCACCAATTTGAAGGCTTTTTGCAAACTATAAATCATGATACAAATGCAAGATATCATAACACAGTCTTTGCATACCTCCCCCCCACTTTCTCTGTCTCTCTCTCTCTCTTTCTCTCTCTCTCTCTCTCTCTCTCTCTCTCTCTCTCTCTCTCTCTCTCTCTCTCTCTCTCTCTGTCTCTTGCTCTCTTTCTCTCTGTCTCTGCCTGTCTCTCTCCTCCCCCCCTCACCATTCCTTCTTTTCACTGCATCAGCCTTTACATAGTAATAGACCTAATCATCATCCATCATTCTGTTCCCTTATGTCTGTTATTCAGTTCAACTCAACAAACATTAAAGCAGCTATTCTGTGCAAGGCACTGTGCTGTGCCCTGAGAATACAAAGAAAACTACAAAACTAGCCCTGTCCACATGGAGCTTACTTCCTACTGAGGTGACACAACATCTATATCTATATCTATATCTATATCTATATCTATATCTATATCTATATCTATATCTATATCTATATCTATATCTATATCTATATCTATATCTATATCTATATATATCTATGCATATAGATATATATAGATATAGATATAGATAGATATATAGATATATATGGATAAATAAAAGTATATATGAAATACCAGGTAATTTCAAGGGTGAGGGGGATGGAGAGTGGGGTTTATATCTGGGATACCTGAAGCAAGGGCACTTGGTTGCCTAATGGCATTGACAGCCTGTGCCCATGCAGGAGAACCAAATTGGCAGGTCTTTGCAGTTAACTATGTGGCAGTTAAATTGGCTGCCTCATTTTTTTCTAGTAAGTGGCTAAAATAAAGAAGTGGCTCCAATAGACAGAGGTCTAGACCAGATGACCTCTCAAAGTCCCCTCCCATTCTGTAATTTCATTATTCTATGAATCTCAAACATGTTGTTTCAAATCCATTTGAGTTAGCATCTCTGTGGGGTCCATGGAAAGTTGTTTAAAGATCTAAACGTTTTCGGTCATGAGGAATCAACTGAAGAGGGCCTTTATTTCCATCATCATCATCACTAGCACTTTTATAGTGCTTTAAGGTTTGCATAGCACTTTACAAATATTTGATCTTCACAACCTTGGGAGATAGATGCTATCATGATACCCATCTTACAGATGAGGAAACTGAGGCAGTGACTTAAGGTCACACAACTAGTGTCTCACACTGGATCTTGAACTAGGCCAGTCCAGCACTCTATCAACGGTGCCACTTCTCTATCTCTTTTTTTTTTAATTACGGTTTGAGAATAGTTATTGCTAGGCATGGGAGCAGACAGTCCCTGGGACTGGAAAGGCTGAAGCTAGTGGATGGCTTGAGTGTGGGAGTTCTGAGATAAATAAGGTGAAAGCCTATTTTGGGTAAGGTTAACCCCCAGGAGCAGGGGGCCACCAGGCTGCCTGAGAAGGATGAACTGGGTCAGTTCAAAAATAGAGCAGGTCCAAGTTTCCATGCCAATCAGCTCATGAGTGGCTAATATACTTCTGGCCTGGGCCAGGTCAGGAGAATCAATCTTTTAAAAAAAATAAATTTACCT